TTTAGCCAATTACAGATCAATCCCCTTTATTTGCCTTGTTTTGCATCAAATGGGAAGGTCTCCTTGCTACGATGCAACCGGCTTGAAGCGAGGCCCGTGGACACCGGAAGAGGACCAAAAGCTCATGGCTTACATTCAAAAACATGGCCATGGAAGTTGGCGTTCCTTACCAGAGAAAGCTGGTGAAGTTTCTCATCCTTTTTTCTTAGTCCTTTATAAAAAATTTAAGTTTCTAATTATATATTAACCAAATAATCTTTAATTACTAGTGATCTTATAAATGGCACGTTTGTTCACACGTAGGTCTTCAAAGATGTGGGAAGAGCTGTAGACTGAGATGGATTAATTATCTCAGACCTGATATCAAGAGAGGAAAGTTCAGTTTAGATGAGGAAAAGACCATCATTCAACTTCATGCTCTTCTAGGCAACAGGTATTAAAGAAGCTATTGTTTCTCCAACACAAGCTATAATAATAGCTAACTTGAGCATTGCAAATTTGTTGTTAAATTGAGTATGTTTCCCAACTTGCTTTAGGTGGTCTGCAATTGCCTCCCATCTACCTAAGAGAACAGATAACGAAATCAAGAATTATTGGAACACACATATAAAGAAAAGATTAGCCATGATGGGGATCGATCCTGCTACTCATAAGCCAGTGGTTGCAGCTCTTGGCTCAGGAAATGGTGAGCCCAAGAAGGTGACAAACCTTACGCACATGGCTCAATGGGAGAGTGCTCGTCTTGAAGCTGAAGCTAGGCTGGTTAGAGAGTCATCAAAACTACGCCAAAATTATCAGCAACCTACAGCTGGCTTACCATGTCCTCCCCCCACTCAGCGAGTCAACAAAATAGCTTCCAGACTTGGCTCCCCGCGTTGCCTTGATATTCTAAAAGCATGGCAAAGAGTACAACTCAAGTCACTAGTAATCGAAAATAACGGTGGCGATCATGGCGGCAATCTTCAGTCTCCAACATCTACATCGAACTTGCAGAACATCCCGGTATCATCAACCAATTGCAATATTGCAACGTTTCATTCAATTGATGTAAATGAAGGGTTCACCACATTCCAAGATATGGAGTTTGAGGCTGGACAGGCATGGAGCATGGGAGCTTGCGATGCAGAAGATGATGACATGATCAAAGGGTTCTCAAATTTTCTTTCCAATAATTGGGAAACTGATCATTTAGTTCAATATCCAAACACGGATAAGGATGGTAATAGTGGAAGCAGTGATGGAGTTAGTGAAAATGATGATGAGAACAAGAACTATTTGGATGATGTATTCAATCTAGTTGATTGTGGACTCAGATATTCTGACAGCACGTTGCTACATAATAACATATGTATGGAGCATTTGGAGTTATTTATCCGGCCAACATGCTAAGAGACTCGTAGTTGTCTCACCTCCATGAAAATTAAAATCGGTTTCTCCAAAAATGGCATTTTGGGTTTCTTGCTTTCTGCTGCTGCTTCTATTTCCTTCTTGTTGTGTAGTATTTTTATTGCATCGTGTCTTATAAGAAGAGAATCTGAAATGAATCAAATTGGGGTTCTCTTTCAATTGTACCAATATGTGGTGTGCCTCCAAATCTGACTTAGGGGTACTCTCTCAACAATATTAATGGCACGTAAATTTGTTCAGTACTATAACATGAAATCAAATGCAATTGTACTGCTTAATCTCAGAAAAGAAAAAAGCAATTGTACTAAAAATCAAGTCAATAAAAACAAAAGAGAGAGAGAGAGAGATGAACTTTATTTTAATTTTCTTGTCTTATTCTGCAGTTTGCACATGATGCGGTCAAAGATCATAAAATAGCTAGCAGTGGTGAGCCAAAAAGAAAAAAAAATTCATAATAAGGCACCTGATTAATTTTGTTAGTTTAATATCATCTAACGTAATGTGTTTTTTTTTTCCGAAAGGTATGTAGAATTTCATTAATGAACCTGTACAATTCAGACAAGGCAAACAAAAAGAGCTACGGCCTGTAAAGTATACCCTGTCAATACCCAGATAGAGCCTCATCACGGACAAGGATTAGCACGACCACCCTTCCTAAGCTAGCTGGGCACAGGACAGCCCCTGAAGTATACCCCCGTACAAAATCTGATCCATACAAGGCTATATGCATTTTCAGCAAGATAATCCAACAAAAAACACCATTCCCAAAATCCTCAAAAACCAGCAATCGTTAACAACATTTCAACCATTCTTAACATGTGCATAATCTCCAGGTACGAGTTCAACAACTTTACCTCAGGTTTAACCCATAGCCTCAAAAACCAACAATCAAAAACAGCTTTTCAACCATTCTCAACATGTGCATAATCACCTGTGTTAGCTTTATAGCTTTCAAATTGAATTCATATTTTAAAATGACAAAAGAAAATGAATAAAGTTTCCTCCAAGTATTGATAAATTGAACCAAGACATCCCTTAATACTTTCAAATGAATTTATCCGTACATGTTCATCATGTATTTATATATTTAGACAAATGTAGACACTAGTTATTTATTTTCTTTCTTTATTTATTTAATTTTGGTAATGTAGAGGCCCTTATTTTATTTTTATTTTTATGTTCCATTTTAATTGTTTATTTTATTATTATTTAAACAAAGTCCAAAGGTCAGTGGGTTGGGCACCCCAAGCATTGTCCATATAGGGAGCAGAGGTCTTAGAGTCAGGCCTAAAGTCTAAACCAACTGTTAAAACCAGGTCTAATGTGATTAAAACTGAGCTAAAACGGATCAAATTAAGCAAAAAGGTTAAATAATAAACAAGGACTAAAGCCAAGTATGAAGAAAAAAATAAAATAAGACAAGAGAGAGGAGGAAACAGCTCAGCAGGTGCCTTTACACTCTGCCAAGGACGAATCGACCGTGCCAGATGCGAATTTTTTGCATCTGGCAATGGCCTTGAATGCTGGGGGTGCACAGATGGCTGTATCCCCCAGCATCTAAGGCCCCTCTCACCAAGATTTCGGAGAATGGAAGAAACCCTAGGACCCTAGAAAAAAAAATCCTAGCAACCAGAGTTCCTTAGATTGCTAGCAACCAAAAAACTCAGCCACCATGAAAGGAAAAGTCTACATCAAAAAAAATCCTTCTTACTTTTTTGAAAACCCTAAGAACCAAAAACATCTTAGTCTCTAACAGCCAATAACCACAATAAAAGAAAATAACAAAAAAAGAGCATAAAAAAACAAAAACCATTGTTTACAAAGGGATTTTTGAGAAATGGGTTTGGTTGGGGGGTGATTGTGAGGGTTAAGTGAAGGTCTGAGTAGTGCGAGAAAGAAAAAACGTGAGCGTTTTTGGGATGAGTGTTAGGGTACAAAACAAGGGTGAAAATCGGAAGAGGAGACCGGCAAAAGTGAACGGCGTTAAAGAAAGGGGAGAGCGAACGATGGGGAGAAAGTGAAGGACGGGGTTGAAGTTTCCGAGCAGAGAGGAGAGGGAAGAGTTGGTGGTGGAGAGAGAAAGTGAAGAAGGAAACCGAGGACAAGAGAAAAGAAAAGCTTTTATATAGTTAGGGCTAGGAGGCAAAACGACTTAGTTTTGGGAGGATTCGAAAGAGACTTCGTTTCTTCAATTATTGGCTTGAGGAGAATAGTTTTCAAGACCTTACGGATGTTGAATGGAAATGACCGCATGAAGGCTTGGAAGGTAAGTGTTTATTAATGGGATAAGCTAAAATCTCTTAAACCAAAAATCAAGGAATGGCAAGCTTCTAAATTCGGGAATTACCTTGATCAAATTTTTGTCTCGAAACCCAACATTCAAGAGAAGTTAATGGCTATGCAGAATGATCCTCAAAACTCCTCTTAAAGAAGACATTATTCTTCTTAAAGTTGAGCTGTGGAATCTCTATCATGTGGAGGAATGTTCATGGCATCAAAAGTCTTGAATCAAATGGTTTTTAAATGGGGATCGTAATATTAAATTCTTTCATGTCGTAACGTCTAATAGAAGGAAGGTGAACTGGCTTGACAGAGTTAATGTTAATGGTAATATCCTCTCTAATCCTAAATTTGTTTTGACTTTTGTAGTTGATTACTTTGAGAACCACTTCAAAAAACAAGCTATCTTTAAAGTCTCTTAGTTCAATTGTCCCTTGAATTCTTTGGATTTTATTTTTGCTATTTCTTTGGAAGAACCTTTCTCAAAAGTTGACGTCTGACAAGTTATTGAGAACTCGAATGGTAATAAAGCTCCGGGCTTGGATGGTTTTAATATGTCCTTTTTTAAGAATCAATGGGTCAAGATTAAGAATGATGTTATGGCTACTTTTTCTGATTTTTATAATTCTGGTTTTATCAATTAAAGTCTGAATGCCTCTTTATCTCTTTGATTCCAAAGAAGAAAAATCCAGATAATCGTTTTTATTATAGGCCTATAAGTCTTACAGGCAGTATTTACAAACTGGTGGCGAAGGTTTTGGCAAATAGGCTTAGGCTTGTTGTTGGGAAAACTCAATTTGCCTTCACCAAGGGTCATCAAATTCTAGATTATGTGCTGGTTGCTAATGAAATTATTGATCAAATGAAAAGGGATTATAATGGTGACTTGGTGCTCGAAGTTGATTTTCAAAAAGCTTTTTACTGCATCAATTAGGACTTTCTTAATTTCATAATGGTTAATATGAGGTTTGGTCCAAGATGGTGTAGATGGATTTTTTCTTGCATTTTCACTATGCAAGTTTTCGTTTTTTTTAATAGTATGCTCACAGAGGAATTTTTTATGAGATGAGGTCTTCATCAAGGATGTCCTCTTTCTCCTTTCCTCTTCAATATCATGGGATAGTCATTAAGCTCGACGATCAACCAAGCTATCTCTCTAGGATTCCTTCATGGTGTCGATATCGGTAGGAATGGTTTGGTGGTTTCTTTACTTGCAATTTATAGATGACTTAATCTTTTTCTACAAACTTGAGTTGGATAATCTCTAATGCATCAAAAGTCTTCTTCGTGGCTTTCAACCTTTTTCAGATTGGAAGACTAATCTCCAAAAGAGTCATTTATTTGGCATTGGGGTGGAGCATAATTTTATTGACCATTGGGCTCACCTTATCTCCTGCAAGGTTAGTACCTTTATTTCCACTTACCTTAGTTTTCCTATTGGTGTGCATCTTAAATCTAGTATCCTATGGAATCTGATTGTGGAAAAGTTTGAAACTAAATTGGAAGGTTGGAAAGCTAATCTTCTTTCCACTGCGGGCAATGTCATTCTTATGAATTCTATCTTATCTACACTCTCGGTGTATTTTTTGTCCTTTTTTTGGATTCCTATTGGAATTAAAGAGAAGCTTGATAGAATTATTAGGAAGTTTTTTTAGAGTGGGAACAATGGCAATAGAAAATTGCATTATGTCAAATGGGAGGCGATTTGTTCCCCTAAAGAGTTTGGTGGCTTAGGCATTTCTAATCTACACCTTAAAAATTTTGCTTTACTTCATAAATAGATATGGAGGTTTGGTGAGGAAAAAGACAACTTCTGGTGCAATGTTATTGTTGAAAAAAATGGAATGGACTCCTTATCCCTTGTGCCTTATTGCTGTTCAAGGAATTCATCTTCTTTATGGAAGAATATTACCAAGCCTTTTTCTTCTGATAATGATTTATCTAAATTGGTCAAAGATGGTATTAGCTTCATCGATTAAATTAAATTTTGGTATGACAATTGAACGGATGGGCTCCCCCTCAAGATCTCTTATCTTTGTATATTTGCTTTGTCCTCAAACAAATATCGTGTTCTTGCTAATTTTGGTGACTGGATTGGCAATATTTTGAGCTGAAAAATCCCATTGAGGAGGAATCTTTTGTATTGGGACAACTTCACCTCGACATTATTAATAACTTCTCTCTTGACAATGTTGATTCTAATAAAATCATTTGGAAAGGGACAACGAGTGGTTCTTGTTTTTCTTGCAGCTTCTATATTTATGCCTTTAAAGCTTTTGGCAATCCAAATGGGAATAGTAAATTTTGGAACCTTATATGGTCTAATCTTGCTCCTCCTAAGTGTGAGGTCTTTTATTGGCAAGTCATGAAAAGGCATATTGTTGTGAAGGGCGAGCTATTTAGAAAAGGAATTATTAATAGCAAAGTTGCACTCTGTCCCATCTGTTTTTCTGACGTTGAAACTATTGAACATATGTATATCAATTGTCATGATGTTTGAAAAGTTTAGTCTTTTTGGATTAACACTTGGGCCTTTTCATGGGCTCCCCCTAGAAATATGAGGAATTTTTTTGTTTCTTGGAACACCCTTTCTAGTGATTGTGAGCGTATTCTAGTTTGGAGGATGGCTTTTATGGCTATCATATAGACAACACGAATTCACAAAAATAATCTTGTTTTTAATGGGAAGATCTAGGATTCTGACTTGATTTTTTATATTATTAAGTTAAGAGTTGGTTGGTGGGCTAAAGCTAAGTGGCCTCTCTGCGACTCCTCTGTTTTGGATATGGTTAAAGATCTTGTTTTCGTTAAAAAAGTTTCGACTAGAATAAGCCTTATTTTGATGCTTTGAACTTCAACTTTGATGGTGTTTCCCGTGGTTGTCCTGGTCTTGCTGGCATTGGAGGAGCACTTTAGGATTACTAGGGTTGTGTGAAAATTCTTTTTTCTAAGCCATTGGGTATGAGTGATTCTAACATGGCTGAAATTCTAGCTATCAAAAAAGCCTTTTGCCTCTTTGCTGCTTCTCCATGGTGTAACGATCACTCCCTCAATGTGGAATATGATTCTTCTAATGTTATTAAATGGGTTAATCATCCTTCTTTAGTGCCTTGGAGTTTCACAAGGATTATGAGTTAGATCAATTGTTTCAAGAGGAAAATTAAAGTCTAGTCTGCTGTTCACATTCTTAGGGATGCTAATCATCTTGCAGATAAACTTGCTAAATTGGCAGGGGATCGCACCTCTGACAAAATTCAATTTTTCAACTAGTTTTACTCTGTGTTAGGCTGCTTCTATTGTGGTGTCACTTTTTTTGCTCTTCTACTCTCTTCTGGTTGTTTGTGAGTATTTTTCTTTTTGTTTCTGGGTAACCTTTTTATTGATTATTGTATTCAACTTTTGAAAGAGTTTTCACTCTTTGCTGAAACTCTTCCCTTTATAATTTAATGCCATTCAAAAAAAATTAAGGGATTTTTTTTGTTTCAAATCCTTTACTAATAATTTTTGGACATTTGAATTAGTAAAAAAAAAAACACGCATTTCTTAGTCAATAAGTTTTTATGCCACATCATCTACCACGTGGCATTAACATCATCAAGATGACACAGAAACATGTCACGTGGTAAATGTCGTGGCATAAAAATTTGTTGATTAACTTCTGTTAGTTAATAGTTAGTGACAGTGGTAGTTTAATAACCTCAAAGGCCTAAAACAAAATATTTAAATGAGGTATTTTTATTGAAATTAAGAAAAAATTTTTTTTTAAGCTTTGAATAATCAAATTCATATTTTTTATTTGAAATATTCAAATATTTATTATAAAGTATCAAAAAATATTTAACTGCTATAAATATTTATATTTTTTAAATGACTAATATACAATCAACAATCAAAATTTCTAATTCAAATAAATTAACTATGACATAAAATAAAGATAATATAATAATATAATTTAAACTCTAAATAAAAGTAAAAAAGTCAGCAAATATTAGAACAATAATATTTAATTATTGAATATTTATTGCAAGTCATAAATGAAACTCGTAACTTTATGAAGATAATAACATAATAGACTTTCTATGTATTCTTTGGAAGAAATATGAAGTTAAAGGAAGAAAGAGCAAATGACGGAAGAAAAATTCTAGGGTGGATATAAAAAATTGAAAAAAAAATAGTTGAGAAATGATAAAAAAAAATTGATATTTATTAGATGCATAATTAAAAAAGTAAGAAAATATATCATTTTATTAATTTTTTTACTTTTACATATTTTTGATAAAAAAATGAGGTAATTAATTTAGAATTAATAAGGATGTTGAAGTAAGAGAAATATTTATTAAGTATAAAAGAATAAGTAAATATTTTATTAATTATCTTAATTTTTATATATTTTTAATATAATCAATTATATTATTTTTATAAAAATATGAGACCTTTTCAAATTTGGAGCCTTTGGGTGGCCTCATGGGTTGAACCTGATTAATAAAAGGGGTTTATTTAACTCAAAATAAGAGTACAGAAGCTCATTTAAACATTATAAAAAATAAACATTAAATTAGTATTTTTGATATAGTTTGGTGGCTTATTTTCGTATTTAGCTTTATAAATATTAACCCAAAAAAGAAAAAAAAAACTAAAACTAACCTACCAAAAACCCCAAAATTATATAGCACCCAAAATTGCATTTTCCCATACAGGAATGATTTTGAATTACATTATAACATAGGTTATTCTTCCTCATCCATTACATTAAATTAGAATTTTAAGATCTAGTTTGAAAACACATTAATTGTGTTGTTGTTAAAAGGAATTTCATTAAAAAATTATTATTTTATATACTTATGATGAAATTTTAGAACTTTATAACTAGAATTAAATAATTATCATATGTCCATTTCTTAATTAATTAATTTAAAATAAATATATCTTAATTGGACATATATCAATCATTTAATTCAATTGTCAAGTTTAAAAATTTTATCGTCTGAATGTAAAATAATTTTTTATGTTATTACTTAATTAGATTTAGCTTCTCTTCTCTCCAAATAAATACGAGGATCCTAGGGAGACATTCATCTAACTAATTTGCTACAACTCTATCACATTTTTCACAATCTAGCTTGCTCCTTTTTCAATTACTCTAAAAATAGGGATCTTCTTTTCTTCCAAGTTTATTCATTTTAACTTAGCGAAGAATCAAAACTACCCTACTATTTAATTACTAGCTAAATCAGAGTATCTTATGTTGACTCTATGGTAGCGTTTGGTATGAGGGAAGTGAGAGCACATTTCCTGCAATGTGTCAAATTAAATTATATTACAGTGTTTGTTTTGCAACAGACCACTGCAATGCAAGATTGCAATGCAATCACATTACAGTCAAGGGA